AAAAAAAAGATTATCCGAGTACGTTTAAAAAAAAAAAAAAACAAACATAAGAAATGATCAGCATATTAATTAGCCAATAAAATTTAAATGGGGTGATATCACCGGGTAAATTATATAAAAATATATAAAATTATCAGGTTAAATCACCCTAGGTGAAAAATTGCTAAATCACCCCGGGTGAAAATTAGTTATAATCTTAAAAATAATAAAACACAAAAAGTACATCTTTATTTAATACAAGCAATTTTTTTTTTTTAAAAAGAAAATGACAAACTAATAAACTCAGAATAAATACTTTTAAACATCAATAATAATTAATTAATTTTTGCATAGTATTTTAAAATCTTTGTATATTAATAAAATATTAATTGTTACAAATTATTACGCCTATAAAAAAAATTAATAAATGTAAAATTAAAAAAAAAGATATTAAGTGTTGAGTTAATGAGCGTCGAGATTTTGAATTTCCAGGATTATGAGTTGTCAGGATTATTGTGAACGCCGAGTTTGTACTATATGATCGTTAGGATTTCGCATAGTAGATCTTTTTTTTTTTAAAAAAAAAGTAACAATAATCAAAATCGTCTCGCTAGTTTGTTCACCTTTTTAGAATTTTCATCCTTTCGCAGGTCACCTTTTGTATTTCTCTTTTTTATCATTTCACAGATGCTTTTTTGTTTTTTTCGTCATTTATAACACACTTAATTTTTCTGTAATTATATCTTTTACATTTGTAATTATTTGATAGATTGTGCTTCTTTCGCCATCGTCATACTGTATGGGGAAACGTCGGAAATGGGAAGAAAGGTAAAAAAATTAAAAGTATGTTCAATGCTATAATTTATCCTATGTATTTATATTGACTTGTTCTTGTAGAAGCCGGAAGATTTAATTGATAAACTGTCTAAATAAATATTCAGAAACAATATGTAGTTGTTCTTAAAGTAACCTCATAAGAAAATTTTAATGTACCCTTAGAAATAGTAATAAATCTCTATAGTTAAATTAAATTTTTTATTTATATTTTTAGTCTTGTCATTTTATTCACTATATTTCTTAAACATTTTTATTGATTATATCATTTTTTTTTTATCCTTTACCATTAGACGTAACAAGAGTTGAAGGCTAATATATTTTTAATGATTTAAACACGTGAAAGGCTGATATTTCATATTATGTGATCATATGATCAGTAATAAATAGTTATTGGAGAGATATTACCAATAGGAATGGCCTCATATAGATAGTCGGGAAATTACTGCTCCAGGGGATTACCCATTTATTTCATAGCAAGGGAAACATTAGGGGTTTTTTTCCCTTCGTGAAAAAACCCTATTATTTCCAACTCCCCATGAAAAATAAATAATAATAATAACGATTTCAATATTGGATGTCTCATAAAAATATCGGTCATTAAAAACCCACATATTCCTAATCGACTGAACAATAACTCTAATTATGACGTCTATATCACACGATAATTTGATGAAATTTACCGAAATAACCAAATTATTCTTATAATTATTTCACTTTTTCCTTTTTACTTATAAAAATTTTTAGCTTATAAACGAATGAACCAAACTTATTTCCAGTAATGTTTTAGAAAATCAAAAAAGGTTCAAAGAAAAATTGATTGAAATCATGTAATATTTAAAGTAATTTCAAGTTACTTTGTATAGTTATGAAATCATTAATAATTACCAGTTGGAATGTCGGATCATGTATTATCTATTGGAAAAAAAAATTTTCAATTAATCAGAATTCCATGTTTACATTATTATATTATTTTAAATTTTCGCTTAATATTGAGAAATAATTAAATTAAAACATTTCACTTAAAATTATGAATAAACAGTATATAATCTAAGATGATATAGCTTTTATTTAATTCCATAAGATGGAAATTTAAAGTTAAAGAATGATGATATTTTTAATAGAAATAAAATCAAAGTGAGAAATCATACGAATTTCAAGCTTTCTTTAATTATATGTATTTTATTTTATTTTTATGTAAGTTTCAATTAACAAATCCTTTAACCAATAAAAGAATGTAAAACTAATATTATGAAAGAAATTTTCTAGGGTTAATTAAGCATCACACTCAAACGAATTTAAACTTTGTATTTATAAGGAATTTCTAACTGTATAACAACACTGTTAGTTAGGATGGTCTGTAAATTTAAAATCACATCTCAGAAAATTATTAATGCACCAAATTTTATTAACATAATAATATCAGATATGTGAATGGAACTTTTATTATTAAAAATAAAATCCGAAACGTTACTAAAAGGATCGAATGATGAAGTATTTACAACATATAGTTATTAGCCAAAATATTGGAGGTCGAAATTAATCCTTGTAAATTTCTAAAGTTAGTATTAAGATTGATGTGGTTGTCTAATTTATCATGATCGTGTAAGGCCCTTGTAATCCAACTGGGCTTGCACTTTCGAGAGCCAATCGTCACCACGACGACACTATAGGATTCAAGCGTCAATAAACACCATATCGATAGGGACAGTAACGCAATAATGGTTATCGGAAAATCTGATGCTGGCCGTTTCCGTTCACCGTTAACGTTAAGGCTACCAAGGATATAACCGTTATTAAGTACGTAATGATTGCTGCGTGGTACAATTATTCAACATGTTCTGTTAATTTCAACAATTGCGCTATTTATCTGTAAAACCGTAATCTCTATAATTTGTAATGCACGTAATATCGACGATATCCGGCACCTTAATCACAGCTATTTATCCTGTCATGTTTATTGAGTATTTATCCAATGTTATGGATTTCTCGTACCATGTGATATGTTTAATTAGCAATGAAATTTTAGCATAATTTAACAATATACTGTATGTAATTTTAAATATCCAACCGCGTCACAAAAAAATAAAGTTGATTTTTGTTGATTTTGCGAGTTTTGATTTTTTGATTCATTGATTTGATTAATCGATTTTAGTCAAATCTCTAATAAGTAGATCAGTAAGGAAAACCAAGAAATAATTTAAAAATCTAAAAACTATAATGTACTGTACAGTCTGACCGTAATATTGGTATATTTTGATATGATGATATTTAAAGAATTTCAATATAATGACATTATGTCTTGAACAAAATACAATATTATTAAATGAAATAATTGAATACGTTGTGCAATTTATTTTATTGAATTATTATTTATTTTCTTTCCTTGAAAGAAATAAATTTTCGGTTATAACGAGTAATACACTGTAAGAAATTTTAAGATCTAGTATTACTGTTGAGCGTTGAACCTTAAAACCAAAAACTTTCAGCCAGTTCGATAAAAAAGCAAGTGGTTATTAATTAAATTATAAATTTATAGTTACACTTAAGATGTTACAATTTCTTTATATTTTAATAAAAAATATCTTTTATAAATAATCATGCATATAGATAAGATTTTAGGATTTTATTTATTGTATTCAATCAATTAATACATAAAAAAATAATAATAAATGAAGAAAAATGTAAATAACAAATAAAAAAATAAAATGAAAATTTTTGATTTATTACTCATCAAAACTATTTTCATTATCATTGATATCATCTGTTATTTAAATAAAAATAAATAAAATTAATATAAAATTAAAAACAATTCATAGTAAAACATATTATATTATTATCTATAATACCTTTTGATTGTAATAATGAGCTAGAAATTTCTAAATCAACTAATTGAGAATCTCGATTATCTATAAAAGCAATAAAATTAGTAATTATAAGGTTAAATGTTAAATAATATAAAATTTACGTAATACCTTCATTATTTTCATCATCATCAAGATATGAAGTAATAATAGATGAATTAACAGGTTTTGTTAAATTGTTGAATGAAAATAATCTACTAGTATATATTGCATCAGAATTTTTTTTATGAGAAGTTGAAATATTTGGTATTTCTTTATCAGCTTCTTCAAACATAGCCTTAATTTCTTTTCTTTTATAACCAAATTCTTCTTTTTCTTGATTATCTTTATTAAAAGAATCATCCCAAAAATCTATTATATCATATAGTTCTTTGGCTGTTGGTCTTTGATTTGAATTAGCATTCATACATTTATAAGCTAGTTTTTTATAAACTTCAGGAGTCCCTTTTCCAAAATTTGGTCTGAGTCCATTACATATTTCTAATGCTAAGCTAATATCAATAACTAATTTTGTCTTTCCATAAAATTTTATTGAAATTACTTGAAAGAAAACTTCTCAAATTTCCATATTTTGCAAATTCTAAAATCATCATAAATTCTTCAGTTTCTGGATCTTTAGTTATTCCATAAAATCTTAATATACAACCACTTGTCACAGCAGTAGTAAGTTTCCAATGTATTTTGAGCTTCCATTTACATTAAAATTAAGTAAATTAGTAAATTAGTATGTCATTATCAATACATGAATGTATGTTTATCTTATTAATTAAACATACCTCATTTAAATACTCAGCTGACATATTTTGTGATCCGTTTAACCTTTTTAAAGCAACTTCCATAGATCTGGATTCTTGTTTTTTCCAACTTCCATCATCTTGTTTATCATATTCTGCTTCACCATTAATCCATGTTGCAGAATATACTTTTGCAAATCCACCTTCACCAATTTGTTTTACGTCTTCAAATCTATCAAATGGTACCCATTCAAGAAACATAAGTTTATGCTTGTACTTTGCATTTCTTGCACTATAAATTGTGTCTTTAATAAATTTATCAATATCATTATTTCCACTAGTCCAACCTTCAATCATTTTAAATGGATCACATTTTTTACACCATAATTCTTCGGTAAATGGTTTATTGCAATAAGAACAATTTTTATGGCTGACGTTTTCCAAATTAGAATCTTTATTAGAATTTTCATTAGAGATATTTAATTTACTAAATTCAGTTTTCATTGTAACTAGTTCTTTTGTCCAATTTTAACCCTTTTTTTTTTTAAAAAAAAAAAAATTATTTGAATTTATTGGCGTTTTTTGCGTTACTTTATATTGTACTTATCAATGAGGATAAAAAAGGAATTGAAATTCCAAAATTAGAATATCACTATTATAGTAACAATTTATGGTGAACAATTATGATAATATTAATTTAACTACAAAAAATAAATGAATGTGAAATTGTTAAAAATTTCATCGGGAGAAACTTTTCATGTTAGCAACTTTGAGAATAAAAGTGTTATTTTATCTAGTATTCTATCCTACTTTAGCAAGAAATAGATAAAAAAAACTCTGTGCGACAAAATTTTAAAACTCATTTTGGATCGGCGATATTGGAAAAAATCGACATAGAAGTGATACGGATATACGGCACACAATACATTTTGGAGTAAATTTTTACGAAAACTAAACACTAACAAATGTATTTGATAAAACATGCTACAAAAGTAAAAATAATAGCAGTATGTTGTACCAATTGATATTCGTGATTAAAAATAACTACAATTTTCAGTGGTACCCATTTAAGAAAGCAATAACCTCTATCACTTGCATCATAAAGTGTATCATTGATAAATTTATCAATATCAATTATTCTAAATGGATCACATATGACATATTCATATTCTTTACATCATAATTCTTCAATAAATGGTTTTACTACAATTTGATTTCTGAATTAGAATATTTATCAGAATCTTTATCAGAAATATTTAATTAATAAATTCAAATTCTATTGAAATTTGATTTCATTTCCTTTGTTCATTAATTTTTTTAACGTTTTGAAAAATAAATTAGTAGAATTTATTGTGCAATGATCGATGTCAGATCAACCATTTTGAAAACGGCAATAATTTTGAGAGTTTTGATTTTTTTAATCGATTTTAGTAATTAATAAATTAGGAAAAAATAATTTAAAGACCTATAATGTGAAGTCTGGTCGTGTTATACCAACATCCAATATACTATCATATTATTAGGACATTTATAAAATTTATTTATAAATATTTGATATATTATATTTTTTAAAGATTTTCATTCATATAATAATGAACTTTATGTTTTGAGCCATAAATTTTCATTGGAATATATAAAAATTTATATAGCACATTTATATTAAAATGACGAAAAGAAATGTGTTATGCAATATATTTTATTGAATTATCATTTATTCTTTTCCCTGAAAGAAATAAATTTTTGATTGCTTGTTATAAATAACATTTTCTTTGTATTTATAATAAAAAATGTCTTTTATGATAATCAAATAGGTCAGATTTTAGCATTTTATTTATTGTATTCAATCAAATTATAAATATAAATAAATAATTCTAAAAAAGTAATAATAAATAAAGAAAATGTAAATAACAAAAAAAAAAATGATTTATTACTCATCAAAATTATTTTCATTATCATTGATATCATCTGTTATTTAAATAAAAATAAATAAAATTAATATAAAATTAAAAAACTTCATAGTAAAACATATTATATTATTATCTATGTACCTTTTGATTGTAATAATGAGCTAGAAACTTCTAAATCAACTAATTGAGAATCTCGATTATCTATAAAAGCAATAAAATTAGTAATTATAAGGTTAAATGTTGAATAATAAAAAATTTAAATAATACCTTCATTATTTTCATCATCATCAAGATATGAAGTAATAATAGATGAATTAACAGGTTTTGTTAAATTGTTGAATGAAAATAATCTACTAGTATATATTGCATCAGAATTAGTTTTATATGAAGTTGAAATATTTGGTATTTCTTTATCAGCTTCTTCAAATATAGCTTTAATTTCTTTTCCTTTATATCCAAATTTTTCTTTTTCTTTATAATCTTCAGAGTAATTAAAAGAACAGACCCAAAAAAAAATTATATTTTCCAATTCACTGGCCGTTGGTCTTTGATTTGAATTAGCATTCATACATTTATAAGCTAGTTTTTTATAAATTTCAGGAGTCCCTTTTCCAAATTCTGGTCTGAGTCCATTACATATTTCTAATGCTAAGCTAATATCATGTTTTCTTTCATAAAAAGGTGGCTTTCCAGAAGATAATTCAGCCATAATTACACCAAAACTGTAAATATCTGAAGATGATGTATATGGTTCTTTATTCCTTCTGGGGCAATATATGGTAATACTCCACATATTTTATCATCTGATTTTTGTTTATTTGATGGTCCTGATAATCCGAAATCTGATATGTAAGATCTATAATCATTAAATTGTAATATATTTCCACTATGAAAATCTTTATGAGAATATCCTAATCTATGTAACATAAGAAGGTTGTATATTGTCCAATATAAATAACTAAATTTTTCTTTCCATAGAATTTTATTGAAATTAACTTGAAAGAAAAGTTCTTAAATTTCCTTTCTGTGCAACATCTAAAATCATCATAAATTCTTCAGTTTCCGGATCTTTAGTTACTCCATAAAATTCTAATGAAAGCCTAAGCGACTCAACAAATACTTTCCAATGTATTTTAAGCTTTCATTTAAATTAAAATTAAAGTAAATTAGTATGTCATTAACAATACATGCATGCATGCTTATCTTATTAGTTAAATATACCTCATTTAAATACTCAGCTGACATATCTTGTGATCCATTTAACCTTTTTAAAGCAACTTTTTTAGGTTTAGGTTTTTCTTTTTTCCAACCTCCATCATCTTGTTTTTCATAACTTGTATTGCCATCAATCCACATTGCAGAATATACTTTTGCAAATCCACCTTCGCCAATTTGTTTTACGTCTTCAAATCTATCAAATGGTACCCATTCAAGTAGTTTGGCATAGCCCCTATTGGTATTTCTTGCATCATAAATTGTGTCTTTGATAAATTTATCGATATCATTATTTCCACTGGTCCAACCTTCAATCATTTTAAATGGATCACATTTTTTACACCATAATTCTTCGGTAAATGGTTTATTGCAATAAGAACATTTTTTAGCACATCTGAAATGTGTGTCAGGTTGACGGCGCAGTGTGGCGCAGCGATTTTTCCAAATTGCAATTTTTTTTATTTAAAATAAAACCTTTAAATTACTGCACTAGATGTATTTTCGTCCGCTCTGCAAATTTACTTAGAGTATATACGGGCGGTTTAGAAGGCCATTTTCGAGTTATTTAACAAAAACCGTTTTTTTGACAAATCCAATTTTGGAAATGATCGGCAAAGACGATAAAATCAGTTGTTATATACTAAAGTCAAAATCTACGTCCAAAACCTCCTTCCGTTTATAAGTGAATTTTGTAAAACAGATGAAAATACATCTAATGTGTAAATTTGAAAGCATTACATTAAAAAGAAAATCTTTAACTTAGATTTTTTTTGAATTACTGCGCCACACTGCGCCGTCAACCTGACACACATTTCAGACGTGCCATTTTTTATGACTTATGCCTTGCAAATTAGAATCTTTATTAGAATTTTCATCAGAGATATTTAATTTACTAAATTCAGTTTCCATTGTAACTAGAGCTTCACTTCTTTTATCCAATTTTAACTTTTTTTTTTTAAAAAAAAAAATTATTTGAATTTATTGGCGTTTTTGCGTTACCTTTATATTGTACTTATCAATGAGGATAAAAAAGGAATTAAAATTCCAAAATTAGAATATCACTATTATAGCAACAATTTATGTTGATCGTACTTTTAATTTTTATATGCTTCGATTGCTTCGTCATTAAATAATTAATTATTTAATAATTGAATATGAAATTGGAAATTTTTCACAAAGTGAAAATTTCACCAAGAGAAACTTTCATGTCGGCAACTTTGAGAATAAGTTATTTATCTATTATTTTATCCTAGAAATGATAAAAAAAATACCTTGTGCGACAAAATTAATTTTTTTTTTGTTACGTCAATCGTTAAAATAACTGCGGCACACAATACAATTTGAAGTATTATAGCAAATTTTTTATAAAAACTAATATTAATGAGTTTATCTGATAAAATATGCTAAAAATATAGGCTATATAATTATTCTACCAATGGAAGAAAGATACTCCTTTATAACAAAAATATTATTACAATTTGTTTTCCGTGATGAGTTACAGTATTTACAATTTTTTACCCTTTCGCGGTTCTTCAATTTATCCAATACCCGAGCTTAGCTATCGAAAATAAAAAACTAAGAAACGAGAACCGTTATACATCCCAAAGTACCGTTTCTGATTCTTGAAGTCTATTTACTTAGAAATATATCAATAAGATAATTTTTGTATAAGGACAATCAGATATCGCATATGAGTGATATGACTGCATGAGTTGATATTTTACTTAATCATGCATCAACAACGTAACTTTTGCATCGCCTTACGTATCGACTAATCAAATTATTATTATTAATGCGGAAGATTCATATTAAAAGGAGACAGTAAAAAGGAAACGATTTTTTTTTCATTTTATGAATTTATTTATTGAGTTAACTAAACATAATATCTTTAATAAAAAAAAATACTTTATTAAGTTTTTCAGTACTAATTATTTTCTGTATCGGACTGCGGCTGGTTGAGATGAATTCATAAAATTCATAAAATAAAGAATTTTCTAAGAAATTCCAATGATAAAATATAATGTAACTTTGAAAATTTCTCTTTATTATCTAGTATTCATTATTTATTTCTATACTAATTGGAGCAACTTAACATCAAGTAGTTGTGCAAGAGATGTTTTTCCAATCATTGGTGGGATAGAATTAGAATAGGACCCAGAAATATATATAAAAGGGTCAGATTTGATTTTGTGTATTTTGAACTAAAAAAATCATAAAAATCTTTCCTTTTTTAGATAATTTTTGATAATACCAGTCTGAATTTTATTTCTTATTATAGTAACCGACTGACATTATCATAATTCCGGCCCTGAAAAAATGCGTACAGCTCATAGTAAAAAATTTTTTTCATCACCTGACCCCTATATATATATTTCTGGGTCCTATTAGAATAATAGTAACACTAGTAAGATTAACGCGTTCATAGAAAGGACCACCTTCCAGTCCCCGGTAAGTCATTCCTCCAAGACCTCCTATTCAATCAAATTCGAAAATACCGTATACTTCCGATATTAAGCACCCCCGAAAATAAGCACGTTATGCTGTTGCTGGCCAGCATTACGGTCAAAAAAAGGGTGCTTAATTTCGGAAGTATACGGTAATATATCAAATGTGCACGAAAGTTAAAAGAAAATAGCTTACTTAATCTTGATTTATTTTTGAGCACGTCTGTTAAAGTGAAAGCGAAAAAGAAATAAAATAAGTTAGTTAACATTACAAAATTTCTTGTTCGAGAGGAACCCATTGAGAGACACTTACCAGTGGTGGCAGGCTTTAGCGGTTTCACGATGATGTGGATCACACCTTTCTGAAGGTCATCATCAGAAAAACATCTTTAAGATCCATAGCTGGGGACAACTTATCACCTTTGAGCTCATTTTTAATGACAGTTTCGGTATTACTATCCTCAATACCTTCAAGTGCCTTCCACTTCTTGGTTCCTTTGATGAGATCTTTGACCTTCCATAGCTTCCATTGATTAGCCTTCTTCACTTTCTTAAGATCAAAAACGGTGAGATCGTTTTTATGGAGTGGTTTACCATCAATAGTGTTATCCCTCTTCAGTAATGTGAACTGCGGACGATTCTCCAAGAGGTTTAGCCAGAACAACAAAAAATAAACGCATTTTAACCTTATATCTGCAAATGCGAAAAACGAGAGTTAAAAACGAGAGTGATTTAAAACAAAGTTCAAAAATAATTTGCTTTCAGCAAAATACAAATAAAGCCTTTTGGGAATATTAAGTTAGGTAGGTAGAATATGTGTGTTGATTGGTCATCCGTCTTAATTCGTGGATCGGTTTCGGTATTGGTTTTTAAAAAATTGTTAAAATAGTGTATACAAATTCCTTGCAATAGTTATAGGTGAAGATGGCCACGGTTGATGGTATTAAAATATTATATTAAATTAATAAATAATATTGATTTTTTTATTTAAATTTTAAAAAGTTTCCAATAATTTTTAAATTACAATAACTTAAAGTTGACTTTAACTTATCAAATTCGTCTAATCGATCACGAAATGTAAGACTGATTAGTGAATTATATTCATATCATGTGATTTGTCAATTAGATGCTTCGGACATTTTTACACAAGTTACAATACGGTATTGTTGGAAATCATCTTAATCTTAGTATAGTATTCTTTGATGGTATTAATGGAATATAGTTTAAAGTCGATCTGAAGTATCAAATTTTTAAACGGAAACTTAATACTTGTGTCTTTTTTAAATTTTAGTTGATGTGTGAATATTATTCATTACGATAATTCTTCATAAAACGTGGTGCGACCTTGCAATTTTTGCACTGTAATAGTGGTTATTCACATTGGTTATACCATATTTCATTAAACTTTATCATAATTAATTTCCACGGACAATATTATAATTTCACTGGTAAAAGGATTTTAACTTGCATCCAAAATATAATTAATATTGACGTTAAAAAGGCTAGATTTGATAGGATAATAATAAAGTGGACTTAATTTTATGATAACTTGTGAAAAGGCGTCATAAAAAGGCGTCATAAGAAACGTTCGTATTTTTATGTAGAAAAAAAATGACTTGGATACGGTAATCTTGGATATCAACTGCATAATAATTCATTTACAACGTAATTAGCAAGCTATGCATAGCTCGTATAGTTAGATTTAAAGAATTTATTGTAAAAGTCTCGTCTATATAATATAAAGTATAATAAAAATTTACTACTTTACTTCACCTTTTATCTTTTCGTTGAACATAACAGATTAGGAAACTTAATTTATTATATTAAGTCGGGTGCTGTGTATTATCTGAAAAATTATATTACTACTAGTTTTAAATGTTTAAATTTATATTTACAGTATGTTAATTTTTCATTATTTTTATTATTGCACCTGTGCGAACAAAAATTCAAATCGCGAAAAATGTGGAACGTGATTAGATAATATTATGTTTTTCTCAGTTATAGATATTCCAGTAATACTGTATGTGAAATGATCAAATGACTCATGCAAAGAAATAATCATGCGGAACCTCAAATCTGTTGATTATGATCGCAACCATCAGTTTTACTAATAATAACTCAACTTTTCCCACGAAATATTTATATAAAAAATCCTTTTTTTTTCCACACTTCAATACTTCAATACTCGTAATTTTTTTTTTCCTTCTTTTTCTTAAACTCTAGATATTATTACATCGTGTAAACTTTTTTTTTATTATAATCATAAAACATTTTAATAATAACTCCCTATTTATTCCTTTTTTAAAAAAATCTTCCTTCATTTTCTTAGATATTTATTATAACGTGTAAACTTTTTTTTTTATCATACTATTTTTTTTATAATATTCTTCTTTTTCTTAAACTCTAGATATTTATTATAATGTGTAAACTTTTTTTTTATTATAATCATAAAAACATTTTAATATTAACTCCCTATTTAGAAACAAATATTATCGAAAACATGAACCTTACTCCTAAGCAACTTCTAGTCATAGTCTTGATTCTGGTAAGTGGAAATGACTAAGCTGGGATGTATAAGGGATTTGTGCACCTAGAGTGTTTTGGTTATCCTCCTCTTCTAGTAGTCTGGTTACCTTAAATGAGAAAAATATAATATCTCAAGCTATGTCGCAGACTTCTGTATGTGGGGCCCTTCCTTTTGGTGGTGGGTCTCATGTCTTATTATTAATGTGACAGTACCTCTGCACGAGTTTGATCACTCACGATATATCGTTAATGTCAATTAATAGTAAGCATGGGGGCTTGAATCTGTCTTTTCTACAAAGCTTACTTAGAGTACTCGAGTCTTCTAACTTATTTTATTATTTTTAGATTCCATCCTTTAGCCTTTATATTTCAGTAAGGATTGTAAGTTGTAAGATTGTTTATTATTCAAAAATATTTACTTATAGTATACTCTTAGTTTTAATTAAAAAAAAAAAAAAAGAAAGAAAACTTGTGATAAAATTTAATAGTACAATGTTTGTTTGATTGAATTTATTGAATTCTATAAAATAATAATATATGTAAATAAATAGGCCATATTTTAATGTAATCGCACTGTTTTTTTCATTAATTAAATGATGTTAGAGATATTAATATTTTGATTTATAAGTAAACTGTTGCTTTATAGATATAACAATTTAAGGCTGTTCAAATTAATTTTTAATTTAACGTCCTCCCCCCTCTATTTTTGAAAATTTTAAAAATAATTTAAATATATGTTCACATAGTATGTTTAGCACCATTATTAGGTAGTTTAGGAAAGATATCTTAACATTTTCTCCCTTTTCCGTCACATTTCTAGTACACCACCCTTGTTTCCTCTTAGAAATTCTCTATTAGGTGACTTCTTTTTTCCAAATAAACTTCACAAAAGCAGTAGAGTTTTTTATCGCTAATCATTGAAATGAATTCCAATAAAATGTCTAAGCTTGCTAGTACATAATTAGTATATAATAATACACCGTATTATACTCTATATGACATTGAATTATTTATAACATTCAACTTAATCGTCTGATAATTATTCGCTTATAGCAATGTGAATGAGATTCGTACCAACATAATAACGTGCTATTGACATAAATACTGTTGTTATTAAATATATGATGTTATATATATCTATCTAACTGCTAATATGTCAATTGTACGTTATTATGTTATTAAGAATTGTATATGTGACTATCTTGCACCTATAACTACACTTATATCAATTATCTATATACCGCTGTATGTTTTATTATTTTACCATCCTTCCATTACGAGAAAACCATCCTGGTTATCCTGATTAACCTCGCACTTTAAGGTAATCAACTACTTCCTATATTATAACCACTTATTTATAGGTTAAACAGTAAGATACTTTTTTTTATAAAAAATAATTCCTTTTACAATCTTATACTAAAAATGATTCAACACAAAAGTTAGAACTTAGACATAGCCTCGCTCATTGTTACTCTGCTGATCATGCTTAAGACATAAGTAACGTATCAATCAATATAAAACATCACTGGTTTTTCGTGATGAATTTAGGCTCCAGAATTATTAGTCATCATGTCCGAATGTTTTATTTATAAGCCTGGTTGTTAAAATCAAATCAAAATGTTGTTTCTTAGACTTTATTTTAAATTAGTATATATACTTAAAAAGTATGGTAAGAAAGATTAGATCCGTAAGTGTTCTATCAAAAGGAGATGAATCCAAGAAAATAATAGTTAAAAATTTAAAGATGAAAATATTTAAGTATATAGAACAAACTGGATTTTCACTAATTTGTAGATTAATTTATGCTGCTAGATGTAAATCATGTAAATCAGAGAAGTGATAGCACTTCGTGCGTGTTCACAGCTTGCGAAGTTTACCAGTCAGGTATCCAGACCTGACCGATGAAGAGGATATATGAATTATTATTAACTGACATACTGTATTGTCAATAATAGTTCTTGACAATTATGGCACTCATTATTTTTATTTACATTTTAACCAAGAACTGGGTGATAGAGGAATAGATTTGCTTGATGGTTTTTTAGGAACTATTTAATAATTATTCTTCTTGATTAATAAATTGCATTCATCATGCATATATCAGATATTCGTGATCAGGAACACTTTTTTGGTATTTTTTTCTGATCCTGTGAAATTAAATTATATGTAGAATAATTATCATTAAAGTCACGTGAACAAGAAAATTTTGTGATCGAAATTTTATGTACTTGATTTTCAAATGGTTTGTCATAAAAAATTCTTATATTTAACTATTTATACTGAGGTTCTAAAAAGAATGACAAATGCCTGGCAATTTATTTAGAATGTGTTGAATTGCCTATGTAAGGCCATTCCAAACTAATAATTAGTTTAACGTCCTTTCTGAGCTGTAAAATTTGGGGAGAGGGAATAATTAAGCAAACATGATATTTAAGCATATTAAAAATTTCCCACTAAATTTTAGAGAGTATTAGATAGGATTGGGTCGAAGTGGAGGTAGAAAAGTAAGAGAAGTAGACATTCTGATGCAAATGTATTAATAAAGAATAAAAGAGTATAATGTAATAATTTTTTTATAATTATTTATTTATTTTTTTTAGAAAAAAATAGCCAAATTTAAATTTTAAATCATTTACAAGTTTTATTAATTTGTTAATCGGGTATTATCTTATTATTGGATTTTAGTTGTTAGATTTTTCATATTTAATTTTGATATAGATTTGAATGTGTTTTATATCTTAGCTTTTCGCTCAAAAACTCAATAGTAATTTACAAAATAATGAATATTATTAAATATTTTTAAAATCTCAATATTATTATTTCTTATGTATTGTAAAATTTTTTTTTTTTTTTAGAAAAATCTAACATTCTCATAATTTTTCATCTACTTACTTAATAATTTTCTTACACTAAAATTGCATTTTAAATTTTATTGATAATATAAAGTAAAATAATACAAAATAATTCATATAAAGATACAGATGTAAAAAAGAAAATTGAGTTTCTTTTTCTATGACTACTAGTAAATTTTCTATAAGGACGAACTTAATTTTGTTACCTTAATAATTATTAATGTTATTTATTTGCTCCAACTTACAAAAAATGATTCTAAATCTTTTGGAGATAAATCTGCTGCTAAAACTAACTGAAAATTTTGTATCATAAAAATTATTAGTTTTAAATATTCTTTTTCATTTAACATGCTTCTCTGCACCAAATTAATCATCACTCCGATAAGAGTATATAGTAAGTAGTATGGTACATTAGTATGACAAAATATAAAAAGTAACGTATTATTAATTATGTACTGTACAGGTACGATGGGTATGATGCCAATCGTACCAAAATACCATAGGAACATGAATAACCTTTGGATATGATTAGTTGTATTATAGACAAAATGAGCATTAATTTTATAAAAGAATTTCCTTTAATTTTTTTAATGGTAAGTTTTAAAAATTAAATTAAAAAGAAAAAATATTATAGATATTATATTTTAGTAGGTGATTTCGTACCGTACCTGTAAGTTCAGTTGTATTTATATCCAGAGAAACAGGTACAGTAAGATCAAAGCATACCGCCGGTTAAAGCTTCATACCTAAAAAGCAATAAAACAATTCCATAACAAATACACAAGAACATACCGTAACTAAATATATCATTAACGTAATATACGTTTTAATTGACTATTTATTTGTTAATATTAATCGTTAAAATCAGACAATACTGCTTTATAATATTTGTATGGCAAAATTTTAAAGGACTGTCCAAACTGATCACTAGTTATAAAGTAAATAATTAATTATGATTTCTATAGAGTGGAATATCCATGTGTTGACTGTTGAGGTGTAGTGGAATCAAGAAGAAAATAATTCGTTAGGTTTATTTGGTCTTTATTGAATCCCTCCGGGTATATTGCACTAATTGCAGATCGCCGGTTAAGTTTTATTTATTTTTTCTTTTATATTTTATATTAAAATCAGCATTAGATGTAATTCTACTATACTGCGGGTAGTCATCTGATATGCTGATTCTCAATTACCGCAGCTGATCTGCTAACCTATTCTTGTATAGTTAGTATTATTTATACAAATTCGTGATAATATGAACACATGATTGTTACACGATGCATGATTCATAACTCATAAAATTGGGCGTAAAAGCCATTTTTTTTTTTCTTCTTTTTTTTCTTGAAAGTTGAAATAATAAACAAATGGCTTTTATACTTCAAGTTGATTGTTTATGTGAAGTTTTTGAATATTTAGAGGATGATAGGCCAACTTTATATTCATGTTTATTAGTTAACCGACTTTGGTGTAAAATTTCCGTTAGAATTTTGTGGAGGAATATTTGGAATTTTGATATATATCAAAAAGACTCATTGAGGGTAGCGACATCCATTCTTAGTACATTAATTGCTTGTCTTCCCAATGAATCAAAAGAGTTATTACATGAAAATAATATTTTTATTTCAACACCTACTTTCAATCCACCATTGTTTAATTATGCCAGATTTTGTAAAGTCCTTTCAATTGATGTGGTTGATGATATAATAAATGAAGTCCTTCCTGAAAATAGAATTAGTCATCTAGCAACAAATGAAATCATCAAAATGTTTACAAATCAAATTTCTTCTTTGAAAAAATTGACTTATTATGATCACCTTAATATTTCTTTTCCTCATTTTCCTAATGCAAGAGACCTTTCAGAATTATGTTGTAAATCAGAACTTCCATCTAGTTTTTTTTATCAACTATCTCAGATATGTCATAATTTACAATCAATTTCTTTAGATTTTTATTGTAATGATGATGTTTCAAATGAGTTAAAAGAATTAATTTCTTTACAGAATAATTTAAAAATTTTATCTTTATCAGCTTATGATGGAAATTGGGCAGATATTATACCTATTATATTAAAGCACTCTCATACAATAACAGAATTACGACTTTATAACTGTGATAGTGGATATTTACCATTTTCATTCGTCAGTTCATTCTCAAATTTACAAAAATTAATAATGCATTTTATTGGTGAAACGGATTTTAAAGATTTTAAAAAATCACAATATACCAATTTTTTTAAATTGGAAATATTAATATTTCCTTTTAATTGTCCTAAAACTGAATATATATTGAAATTTTTAGAAAATAATGGAAAAAATCTTAAAACGCTTTATATAGGAGAAAATGATGAAGATTTAAGTTTATCAATTTCAAAATTTTGCCCAAATATTAAAAATCTTTTCATAAGATTTCATAATGATGAAATAAATAGTTTAAAAAACTTATTTATTAATTGTCAATACTTAGAAAGTATTAAAATTAAAATTCAGTATGGAAAGAATCGATATTTTAGTGGAAAAGAAATATTAGAAACTGTAGTTAATCATTCACCAAATAATTTTTGTGAATTAAAATTATGTAATGGTTCAATTTTAGATGTTTGTCCAAAAGATTTAGAATCATTATTCAAAAGTTGGGAGAATAGAATACCAAAAAAATTGCTTAAATTAACTATTGTCAAAATGCTCAGGAATAATAAAAAATTTTTATACAAAGAAGGTATGGAAATAATTGAAAAATATGAAAAACTAGGTATTATTAAATTTCGTAGTATATATGAAGAAAACTTTTAATTTCATTATTAAGCGATTTATTTTATGTATTTTAAAATTTTAATATTCATTATATCATAATAAAGTATTGCGGTATTAAATTTTTTAAATTTTATACGCGAGCGTGTGTGCTTTATAAAGAAAACATTAGTTTCATTCAAGATCAACGTGATACCATTTAAATATTGTAGAAGAAAAATTTCTTGTATAATTTATATTTATCGTGCAATTTGATTAGTTGGAATTGTAATTTTTTTTGTTTTTACAAAATTTGTTATATTATAAGTCCCTTTATCATAAATTCGTCTGAAAAAAAAATAATATATGTACATTAAAATATATAAGTTAGTTTTTAGTATTTCATTTATTGTTTCAATCATAAGAATGTAATTTCGTATATATAAATATAAATAAATAATTTTAAAAAAGTAATATTAAATAAAGAAAAATGCAATTAACAAATAAAAAACGATAATTTGATTGTTACTTATTAAAATCACCTAATTTAATTATTGATATCATCTGTTATATATGTAAATAAAAATGAATAAAATGAATAAAATTAAAAAATATTCATAGTAAAACATATTATATACCTTTTAATTGTAATAACGAGCTAGAAACTTCTAAGTCAACTAATTGAGAATCTTGATTATTTGAAAAGAATTAGAATTTGTAATTATGAAATTAAATATAAAAATGTTAGAAAATTTTGAAAAACGTCGGATAGATATATATATATGTGTGTAAATACCTTCATTATTTTTATCATCATTAAGGTATGAAGAAATAATGGATGAATTGACGGGCTTCGTTAAATTATCAAACGTAAATACTCTACTAGTATATACTGCATCAGGATCTTTTTTATATGAAGTTGAAATATTTGATATTTCTTTATCAGCTTCTTCAAATATGGTCTTAATTTCTTTTCCTTTATAACCAAATTTTAATTCTTCTTGGAAATGTTTGTTATCATAAAAAGAATCATTCCAAAAATTTATTATCCAAATTAATTCATTAACTGTCGGTCTTTGATTTGAATTAGCATTCATACATTTATAAGCTAGCTTTTTATAAATTTCAGGAGTTCCTTTTCCAAATTTTGGTCTGAGTCCATTACATATTTTTAAAGCTAAGGTGGTGTCATGTTTTCTTTCATAAAAAGGTGGTTTTCCAGATGATAATTCGGTCATAATTACACCAAAACTATAAATGTCAGAAGATAATGTATATGGTTCTCCATTCAAAACCTCTGGAGCAATATATGGTAATACACCAAATATTTTATCATCTGATTTCCCTATAAAAACGAAATGTGTTAAATTTATTTTAAATTTGTGCTCATGTGTAATAAATGTCTAAAAAAGCACCATTTTGTTTAATTTTTGTTTTTTTGTAATAAGACATAAATCGGATAAAATGGTGCTTTTTTAGACATTTATTACACATGAGCACAAATATGAAACAAATTTAATACATTTCGTTTTTATAGGGTTTTCGTTTATTTGATGGTCCTGATAATCCAAACTCAGAAATATAAGTATACATCTCCATTAGTAATATATTTCCATTATGAAAATCTTTATGAGAACATCCTAATCTATGTAATTTATTAAGGTTACTTATGATCCAAAATAAACAACTAATTTTGTCTTTCCATAAAATTTTATTGAAATCATTTGAAAGAAAACTTCTTAAGATTCCTTTAACTGAAAGTTGTAAAATCATCATAAATTCATTAGTTTTTAGATCTTTAGTTTATTCCATAAAATTGTAATGAAAAATCGGTAAACTTTGTCAAATTCCAATGCATTTTAAGCTATATTTTATATTAAATTTTTAAAGTAAATTAGTATGTCATTAACAATATATATGTTTATCTTATTAATTAGAATGTACCTCATTTAAATACTCAGCTGACATATCCTGTGATCCACTTAACCTTTATAAAGCAACTTTAATAGATTTTGATTCTCGTTTTTTCCAACTTCCATCATCTTGTTTATCATATTTTGCTTTACCACCGATCCATTTAGCAGAATATACTTTTGAAAATCCACCTTCACCAATTTGTTTTATTTCTTCAAATCTATTAAATGGTACCCATTCAATAATTTTAAAATTATAAAAGGAAGACATTCTTGAATCATAAATTGTGTCCTTGATATATTTATCAATATATTATTTCCACTAGTCCAACCTTCAATCATCTTAAATGGATCACATTCTTTGCACCATAATTCTTCGGCAAATGGTTTATTACAATAAGAACAATAAGAACAATTTTCATAATTGACGTTTACTGAATTAAAATCTCTCTCATGGGTATTAAATTTATCAATTCCAGATTCTATTGAAATTTGCGATTCATTTTCTTTTTCAATCTTAATTTTTTTAATGTTGAGAAATAAATTGAAAATTTTTACTTTATTGGCGCTTATTTATATTGTTTTACATATAATCATATGATGACACAATTGACACATGTTGATCATTTGTTAGCCTACCAAAATATGAAAATAAAAAATGATATCATATTTTTAAGAATATAAATTTTCACAAATTTTCACATATGGTAACAAGGAGCTACAAAATTTGATTTATTTATTTTAATGAGTTATCGTTATAGTAAAACTAATAATAAGATGTCAATATACATTAAATAGTGATAATTTGACCATTTAAAGGATTTGCTCAATCATTTATCATTTAAATCATTTGTCTGAATATCATTTGCTAAACAAAGAAATAAATAACGCTATCATTACATAACCAATACCTAATATGTAAATGCATCTTGTAAATCATCGCAAATGAACTTTTTCACTTACAAGTCATATCATCCTGAATAATTCGCAGTGATGGGCGTAAAATTCTATAAATTGGTCATTCAAATATTAAATAGGAAATATCGCTATTTTTTTTTCTTCTCTTAAAAAAAAAAATACACACCCACCCAAAAAAAAATGAGTACACAAATTCTCACAAAACAGGTTAATCTTGAGAATAAACTTGAGCCGCATATTTTAATAAAAGATAAAATTTCACAAATTTATCATAATACGACTGTTCATGCAATTTCAATTGATTACGATAACCTTCCTTCAAATGAACAGTCAGTACTTAAAAGTACAGCTACTTTTCATGGATTGGCTGCAGCAATTTTTCATGCTTATAACAAACATCAACATTTACGCTTGACACCTGATGATATTTGGTTAACTATCGCGCAAGGAGTTAGCCAACATATTAATTATAATGCAGAAAAATTCCGTTATCGTTTTGTTAATCATGAAGGTAAAGAAGAAATAAGTGTTTATGTCGAAGATATTTTGTATCATGAAAATTCATGTATTAAAGGAAATTGGCCTGAAGCAATAAATAGACTAGTCGTATCAACTGATGAAGCTGTAAAGAAGATTGATATAAAATCTCTATTGAAGTGTAATTTTTCTACAACAACAAATAATTCTCTCACTGCTAGTCGTATCGTCCTTTTAGATACTGTTAAAGCTTATTTTAGTTATAAGTTATATTTTGCTTGTGGAATCCCCAAGATTACACTTGAAGGTACTTTAGAAGATTGGGTAAAATTACAAGAAAAAGTTACTAAATTACGTCAATTAGATCTAGATATGGATTTTTGGTTGGATAAATTAGATCCTGTTATTTGGAAATTTGTAGAAACTTATAAAGGCGAAATTGATGAGGAATTTTGGGCAAAAATAATTTCTTTAAATTATTTTGGTTCAGGTGGTGATTTTGAAGATTTTGAAGTTAATGGATGGATGACGGCATTTTTTCCTTATAAAAAAGATGGAAAAATTTTAGAAAACAATTCCGTTGAACCAAGTGATATTCCTAATGGAAGAGTTGAAGTTCCATTTACGACTGATACTGGATTCTCCTTAAAATTTGTTTCCGGATTTTTAGGTTCACAACAGAAAACTCTGGATGATTCTAATGAAGTGGTTGTTTCACCAATTATTGGTTGGTTTGTCATTGATAATAAAGATTCAGATAAAAAATGAAAACTAGATTCATGTAAAATCAAGTAATATTTAGTAGTATTTATATAAAGAAACATAGCTTAAATATTTCATTATTTTTTTATATCAATAATAAAGTTTTTATTTTTTGTTTTTATAATAAATTTTTTAACTTTTACGTTATATTTAGTTCACGTGCAAATAAAAAATTACAAGTAGCATATCATGTTGGCACATATCAACTAAACACAAAACTAATCGTCATCCTAGCAGATATTCCACAAGCATACATTTAGGTGTTCTGGTTATCTGGTGAATACGATGAATCTTTAACTACAACCGAGTGGCACTGCTACAGTAAGCATGTCAAATGGAATAAAAAAATAAAGGAAGATTTAAGATTCATCGTATTTATTCTTATTTTATTTAATTCATTTTTAAGATCTCACTGAAACTGCTTCCTTTATTTTATCTATTTATATTTGTGGCCATGGAATTCAATTTTCTTTTTAACAAAATAATCGGTGACACAAATACGATAAAGTTCGTCAATTTCTAACCGAATGAATTGAAATTTTTTTTCTATTGAAAAAACTTTGCTATTTTCATCCAAACATTTAATGTAACTGCAAAATTTTGCAAATAATTCCTAAAAATCATTAACTAGTCAAAAAAAATTAGCAAATTCCCGTCGCTACTTTTTATTTAATAAAGGTAATACTACTTAAAGACCTCAAACAAGTATATTTTCCCTTTTAATATATGTTAATAGACTATCAAAAAAAGTAATTCAAGAAATATAGAATGTTTTATAATTAAGGTTATCAACTTATGAATTAGCAAAATTATTTGATTTTACTTTTTTATAAAATTTTAAATGTTAAATCAAAATTCGAGACTTATAAATATATAGTAAATAATGAACCATAATATGAGATGTCGTTTTTGATATGATATATGCATTATTATATATCAGATATTATATTATATCTTTCTCCAAAAGTATTATCTCAAAGAAACATTGTGACTCAAATTTATCGAAATTTTTTTTTTTAAATAAAATATACTACTGACTTAAAAATTTAAAATTTTCTCCATGCTTCTTCCTAGCTACCGAAATAAAAAAATATTTTCATAGGATATAGAAAAAATAAAAAGCAGGTTTATTTTATGGGTCACGCGTAACTCTCGTTTAAACGTCAGATTTGATTTAATCACGAAGTTGATTACATCATATTACCTTATATGTCTTAATGTCTTATTATCTTACAAATAAAATTTCTCCTGTAAAACGTCCTTTCACAAAATCACCACAGTTTCCTTTTTTAATATCAATCCTCCACATTGTGTTATTTCAATAAAAATATAACTTTGAGAAACTTTTTTTTAGCAAAAATCGTAACTTTACTTAATTTTTAAATATCTGATATAGAAATATAGTAGAGTTTTTTAAAAAAAATTTGCAATCAAAAACCGCTAGTCCGCTACGCAACAAAAAATAAAAATCAATCATCGAAGAATAATAAAATCAAAAAAATTGAAAGTTAGAATTGATGAAAATTTACACCTTAAAAATTAAAAAATTTCTTTAAAAAAGAAAAATTAAAAGTAAAATATTTTTTTACTTCAATAAATAATTTACAAAAACAAAAAATAATTTTGACAATTTTAATATGATGAAATGGCAAAATTTATTTTATTATTAAAATGATTTGAAATTTTAATTCTTTCTAAGGAATGTTAAATGATTATTAATTCTGAAGCGCCAATATACAGTCAAATTCTGGTATGTAACATTCTTATTCTTTTTTCTTAAAAAATATATATATATATTAATAAATTGATAAGATTTTTTGTTTATGTTACAGAAGAAAAAAAAAATTTAGATTTTTTATAAAATAAAAAAAAGTAAATGGATTTCTTGAAATATTTCACACGATTAAATTATCGTAATTATCGTATCACAAATGACCCTTGGACCAAAATTTTTATCGGGATAAACTTTTTTATACTAAAATTATCCTTTAATATCCATGAATGATGATTTCTTTCTCTTTTTCATTTATCTTATTATCTTCTAACTTCTGATACACGTTTTTCCTTGATCAATTTGCGTTGGAACATGTGTCTATGGGTAAGAATCAGTAATCTTCAGAACTACCAGTCTTTTTTCTCGAACTTTTTTGCGATCATACTAACACTTGGTCAAAACTTTGGAAACTGTTAAGTCGTGCTTTTAATATTAAAATTTAAGTAGTAATGTACTTTTTTAAAAAAATAACTAAAGAAAATTGCTTTCTGGAAAGTAGTTTTTATTACTTTAGAAGTGTAAATAATTGAACATGAAACATCAAATTTTTATCGAGTAAATTAATTTCTTAATTTATATGTTGTCATTGTCAATGAACATTAACGAAGTAGCCTACCTGGTTAGAATCATTGATAATAATAAACTAACCTTTATTTAGTATAAAAATTTTATTTCAGGAATGTTCAATTTTATTATTTCGATTAATTTAATTTATTTTACTTTTACGAAGACATCTTTTAACCAATGGCAGAAAGAAAATTTTCTAGATTTAAACAAGTTATTAATCACCACACTCGAACGAATTTAAACTTATATTTATAGTAATATAAGGAATTTCTTACTATAGAATTTATAACAAACACTATTGTTAGTTAAGATAGTCGCCGTAGATTTAAAATAGCATCAAAAAATTTTTAATGTACCAAACTTTATAATTATTTGTGAATGGAATATTTATTATTAAAAAATAATATCTGAAACGCTACTAAAAGGATCGTATTTTATAACATGATTATATTATATAATTATTAAGAAAAATATTGATATTATATCACACAGTGACAATCGTTGAATATTGCTGAATACTTCGTGCCTAGTAACTACTATATCCCTGTAGCTTTATATGATCAGGTTAACCATATTAATGTTAATACCAACTTTAGAAATATTTCATTGATTTTATTAGACTTTTGTTGATCGATTTTAGTCAAGTCTCTAATCAGTAAATCAGTATATCATTAATTAGGAAAGCCAAGAAATAATTTAAAAATCTAAAAGACTAATAATGTACAGTCATGGTATACTAATATTCAATATACCACTAATATACTACTATATTATTAAAATATTTTTAAAGACTTTCATATAATGATATAATTACGCCTTGAACCACATAAATTCTCATTTGAAAAATATAATTTATATAGCATATTATCTATCATACAATACTAATTGAAATTTCATGATAAATATTATTTAAACGAAGTAATTGAATACTTAAGAAATTTATTTTATTGAATTCTTTCCTTGAAAAAAACAAATTTTGAGTAATACAATATAATAAATTTAATGACCTAGTATTATCGTTGAGCGTCGAACCATGAAAACTTTTAGACCATTTGAAAAAAACAAATAATTATGAATTAATAGTTACATTTAAGATGTTACATTTTCTTTGTATTTCAATAAATATCTTCTCCTATGATAATCATATAGGTCAGATTTTAGCATTTTTCAACCAATTTATACATATAAATATAAATAAATAACAATTCAAAAAATGTAATAATAAATGAAGAAAATGTGAATAACAACAAAAAAAAGAAATATGAAATTTTGCTATTACTTATTATTTATTTTCATTATTGATATCACCTGTTATTTAAATAAAATTGAATAAAATTAATATGAAATAAAAGAATCACAGTAAAACATACTATTATCTATATTACCTCATAATTGCAATAATGAGCTAGAAACTTCTAAGTCAATTAATTGAGAATCTTGATTATCTATAAAATCAATAAAATTAGTAATTATAGGGTTAAATTCTGTATAATAAAAAAATTTACACAATACCTTCATCATCATCATCAAGATATGAAGTAATAATAGATGAATTAACAGGTTTTGTTAAATTGTTGAATGAAAATAATCTACTAGTATATATTGCACCAGAATTTTTTTTATGAGAAGTTGAAATATTTGGTATTTCTTTATCAGCTTCTTCAAACATAGCCTTAATTTCTTTTCTTTTATAACCAAATTCTTCTTTTTCTTCTTCTTCGTAAAAAGAATTCCTCCAAAAAGCTATTATATTATATAATTCTTTGGCTGTTTGTCTTTGATTTGAATTAGCATTCATACATTTATAAGCTAGTTTTTTATAAATTTCAGGAGTCCCTTTTCCAAATTCTGGTCTGAGTCCATTACATATTTCTAATGCTAAGCTAATATCATGTTTTCTTTCAGAAAAAGGTGGTTTTCCAGAAGATAATTCGGCCATAATTACACCAAAACTATAGATATCTGAAGATAATGAATATGGTTCTTTATTCAAGACTTCTGGGGCAATATATGGTAATACTCCACATATTTTATCATCTGATTTTTGTTTATTTAATGGTCCTGATAATCCAAAATCTGATATGTAAGTTGTATATAGATCAAATCGTAATATATTTCCACTATGAAAATCTTTATGAGAATATCCTAATCCATGTAAATCATCAAGGTTACTTATAATCCAAAATAAATAATTAATTTTGTCTTTCCATAAAATTTTATTGAAATTACTTGAAAGAAAACTTCTCAAATTTCCATACTGTGCAACATCTAAAATCATCATAAATTCTTCAGTTTCAGGATCTTTAGTTATTCCATAAAATCTTAATGAAAGACCATCCGTATTATCAATAAATTTCCAATGTATTTTAAGCTTTCATTTACATTAAAATTAAGTAAATTAGTAAATTAGTATGTCATTATTAATACATGAATGTATGTTTATCTTATAATTAACATACCTCATTTAAATACTCAGCTGACATATTTTGTGATCCGTTTAACCTTTTTAAAGCAACTTCCATAGATCTGGATTCTTGTTTTTTCCAACTTCCATCATCTTGTCTATTATATTCTGTTTTACCATCAATCCATGTTGCAGAATATACTTTTGCAAATCCACCTTCACCAATTTGTTTTACGTCTTCAAATCTATCAAATGGTACCCATTCAATAATTTTAAAATTATAAAAGGAAGACATTCTTGAATCATAAATTGTATCCCTAATAAATTTATCAATATCATTATTTTCACTAGTCCAACCTTCAATCATCCTAAATGGATCACATTCTTTACACCATAATTCTTCGGTAAATGGTTTATTGCAATAAGAACAATTTTTTTGGCTAATGCTTTCCAAATTAGAGTCTTTATTAGAATTTTCATTAGAGATATTTAATTTACTAAATTGAGTTTCCATTATAACTAGAGCTTCACTTCTTTTGTCCAATTTTAACCTTTTTTTTTTAAAAAAAAAAAAAAAATTATTTGAATTTATTGGCGTTTTTTTTTTTTTTTTTTAAGATAGTAACGCAACCTTTATTATTACAAAATCAAAAAAATGATTTTATAATACATAAAATGAATTCCTAGAACCAATGATGCAAATAAACATCAAAGACTCTATAACTAAATTTAATCTAGTCTAAAAGAAAAAAAATTAATAACTAAACTAAATTAAAGGACTATACTGAATTGTTGAGTATAGTTGAAAGTGTCACTAGCCTAAAAGAAATTTTTTAAAATTTTTTTGATTTTTTTAATATTTTCCTGTTTTCTAAATTTTCTATTTTCACGATACTTTACTACTTTGCACGCTATATGTAATTAGTAATAATCAGAAAAATACAAAAAAGAATAAAAACAACAATTAAATTAATACATAAAATTAATAAAAGTTCCATTAAATCGCCCCTTGTTGGAAACTTATTGAAATCGACCGAAAATTCATTATCGTCCGCACATTCATTAACTCTTTTCCGAAGCAATAAAATAAATTCTCTGATTTTAAATTTGTTTAATTGTGGCTACTTGGTTGTTTCATTGTTTTATTTGCTATCGTAATCAGCCCTAGTAGCCTGGTGTGCCACTAACCGTTTCTTGTTTTCATTCAATTTGTCTTCTTCTGGCTCCTCGATCTTACTCTTTTTCAAATTTGTTTCTGATTCAACGCTGCTCTAACTAATCGTGTTAATTCAGCTACTAAAATCATATTTAATCTATTATATGCTTTAATCTCTTTGTTACTTTAGGTACGTTGAAACGCTAAAGTTGCTGACAATTTGGGGTTCGTTAGCGCATCTTCAAATTTTCCTCATTTGTTGAAGAGGATGTTACGCAGTTATTTGTTACGTCTCTATTCCGCAGTCTAGTAAATTTCCCATCCTTCCTATAATCTCATTTTGACCCTTAATCTGTAGACCTTTACCCATTTCATCTTCCATAGTTGATTGATATCGCTTTTAATAAATCTCGACCATTGTTGAAATACATCAAAATATATTTTATTTTGTTGACTTTGATGATTTTCACGAAATGACCCTTATAAATTCCAATATATTCTTTAATCAATAGACAATCTTCTTTACTAACCTCGCTTTCCTCTAGCTTTTTCACTACTTGCCAACTATATCTTAATAATTTAATATCTTTTGCAGCAAGTGTTGCATCAAACATCCTAAAATAATAATCCCACTCATTCTTACTTTTTAATTGTTATATTTGAACCACCTTTAATGATGAAAATTGCTTCCATTTCTTTTGATAGATGGATATTAGTCCGAACGGTCTTGTATTTATAACTTCTTTTAACTACTAATCGTTCTATATAGCCAACTTTCTGTAACGTGCTGTAAATTTTTTCGTCCTTCCAATATGCTGGAAAATCATAAAATTTTAAATCACGTGACTTCTCGGCAAAATGTTTTTCCAAATTATTTATTATAGGATGTTGTTTTAACCGGAATTTCATCGATCTTACCATTTTGTGATTTTTGTGTAATTGACTTTTTTCCAGTCGATTTTGTCAATTAGTATCCTTACTCAATTTAGACCTAAAAATCGTTTTCTTTTTCTTTTCTCTATTTACCTCCCTATTTTCCTAAAATAATTCGTTTCCTTTCGGTTACATCAATTTCCAATTTCTTTATCTTTTCCTCAAGCTTGTTGATTTCTTCCTCTTACAGCTTGACTAAACGTGCTTTATCTACCATATCTGCTTCTAATTTGAGCTTCTTTTCTTTCCACTCACGTGAATTATCTTCTTTGTTACACAGAAGGAAAGAATTTTTGCGCTCAAGAAAATTTCTGAAAACTTCCTAATATTATGACCGATAATGAGCCATAAAATAACAGATCCACTCTGAACCGGGGCATCCTATTCTTTATCACAACTTCATTATCAGATAGAAATCATAGAACTCTTGGCATATGGTTTTTTTCAGTGTCTTTTATCCTCCGCTTTATAATTTCTAAAAATTCTTCTTTCGAGCCTGAGTCATATATCTTCTGCCCTATAAAAAAATTGGATACGTTTTTTATAAAGTTTTTATACGATTTTTTTCCTTAGAAATAACGTATCATAATAGGATACGGAAAAATGCACAATTCCGTATCACTAAAAATATGGTTTGGATACAGAATTTGCACGGAATTCATATGGAATTTACATGATTTGATCACTGATTTTATCACGAAATTTATAC